GCGAAGCAGGCTGAACCACACGGCGCCCAGACCTCAGTAATCCGCCTCCCAATGCCAGGTGGAGCCATGCGGCTGTGCCCAAGGCGCAACTGCGATGCCGATCCCTCGAGCGAAGAGATCCGCAGGCGTGGGGAGCACCGCCGTCGAGTGGTGAAGCGCCTGCGCAGCCTGCCAGGGGGGGTCCTGCTGCAGTGGAGACAAGTGGGAGGCCGGTGGAATGAGTCGCCTGTGGGGCGCCAGACTCCGAACGCCCGCGACGACGTCTGCAGTCCAAGCAACTGTCGCGGAACTGGTGCGGCGCACTGGCCGGCAGCTGGTGGGAGCCTGGGTGCTGTCCTGCTGCGGAAGGCTGAACCACTCCGTGGCGACCCAACACCCGAGTGACCACTCCACAGGGCAAGGGCGGAGCAAGCGACTGTGGGCCACGCAGCGCGTGCCGGCACGGCGCCAGGCCTCAGAGAGGGGGGGGGAGGGCCCGCAGGCGGGGACGCACCGCCAGCGGAGGAGTGAGGGGGGGGGCGGCACTGGTGGTAGTGCTGCCTTCTGCGGTGTCAAAGGGCGAGGCGCCTGGGGGAGCTGCACTGTAGAGGACACGTGGGCCAGGAGGCAAGCCAGGCCCAGTCCGCCGATAGGCACTGTCCCCCAGACCCGAGACCCACCACACACCACGAGGTCCTCCAGGGCCGAAGCACACTCCGCAGAGAGTGGGAGCCAGACCACGAAGCGCGGAACACGAGAGGCCACTGGGGGGCAACCACCCCGACGTCTGATAGCACGTCTGGCAGGCCCCGAGGCCGAGGGCGGGGGACACCCGCCAGGCCCGAGAGGGGAGAGGCGAGGAGAAGCACCGCCACACCCCTCGGCCAGGCCCCGAATCCGAGGGCTAGGGGTCATGGTCATCTCCTGGGTCATTCTCGGGGGTTGGATCGCAGCTACTATCCGCAAGCACCTGCGTGGAAGAGAGGGGGGGTCGAAGCTAACCGCCGCTGGGATACATTTTACATCGATGGGTGCAGCTACTCGCAGCTGAGGTCTCTGTTGAATGTGCACTTCTCGCTGAGAGCACCTGCGCTGAGAGAGGGGGGCGCAGCTAACCGCCGCAAAGCACCATTTACATAGTGTGAGCCAGCACAGTGTTTAGCTGGTGGGATTATTTTTTTTGTTTTGCGGCCGCGACTAAATTCCCGGGCGCGCGCGGGGGCCGCGGATCAGGCGGCGAGGGGGGCGGCAACCCAGGGCGTCTGAGAGGCCAGGCGGTCGTGCAAGCCCAGGGAGTCTGAGGGGTCAGTCACCTGAGGCGCTGGTGGGATTACGCGAAGCGTCTAGAATGTCCTCCTGGGAGCGCCGCAGCGAGAGCGCCGTCCATTGGCTGAAGGCTCCATGGCAAACGAGAAACGAGCGACGATCAAAAAGGGGTCGTACGCGAGATGGCACAGCGACCTTACACCGCGGCATACGCGGGCCGCCGGCGCGGCACGCTACGTTGGAGACGAGGGCGCCTGATTACGCGCGACCTGACGCGTGAAACTTACGCGCGAATGCCGGCGCAGTCGAGCCCGTCCTCCTGCGTCGCTCGAACGAGGTCCACTTCGGGGTGCCAGCGCGGCGGAAAACAGGGGGCCGGGGAGGCGCAGGCGCGACATGCTGATGTTCAAGAGCGCGGGCTGCGCTCGCCGAGTACCCAGGCCCTCGGACGCCGAGGTCCCGAGGCAGCACGGGACTGGGACGCACAGAGACAGACCAATACTGCATGTCCTCCTCGGAGGCGCGCGCCCGACCCGAACACATATCGGGTGTTGCCAGAGGTGCCCCTGGCCCAAGGTCCCCCCAGGATTTTCAAGGAGGCCCCCACGGCCTCCAGAGCACCCCTCACGAGGTCCAGAGGGCCCCCGGAGCTCCAAAATTGGGCGAAAAGCTGGGGGGCACCTTGGGCCAGGGGCACCTTTAGCAGCCCCCGAACGTAGTATACCCAGCTTGTAGCGCATCGCTTCTCGAGCGGCGTGGCCAGAAAGCGCCCGCCAGAACACACACACACGCACACACACACACCAGAAGACTCCTCGGAGCGCGCGTCGCCCCCGGGAGGGCGACGCAGGCACAGTGCCAGCATGTTGGGGCACCTCGGGGCTGCGATCTTAGGAATGAAGGCCCGCGCTGGAGCCGGAGCGCCGGTCCAGGGCCAGCACTTCACCAGTCTTCCTCCTCCTCCTCCTCCTCCTCCTCCTCCTCCTCCTCCTCCTCCTCCTCCTCTTCACTCCTCCTCCTCCTCCTCCTCCCGTCCTCCTCCTCCTCCTCCTCTCCTCCTTCCTCCTCCTCCTCCTCCTCCTCCTCCTCCTCCTCCTGTGCGTCGGCGGCGAGGCAGGGGAGGTCCGCTCCAGCGCGTGGCTCCTCGGAGCAGCCGAAAGGCGAGGTGGCCAGCGCGCAGCCCACGCTGTAGACAGGACGCTCTGGCTTGACGGGGTAACGCTGAAGCCCTGTGGAAAGAGGGCCAACGCTGCCGCGGGGGCACCATTTTGAGAGACTGAGGACGTGGAAACGACGCCATCGATGAAGCGGGAACACCTTGCACGCAGAAATGAGGCCAACGCCGCAGTGTGAGCACTACGATCAATACCGAACACGCGGGGGGGCTCTGGGGACCGTCTTGGAGACCTCTTGGTCCGTCTGGGGCTACTCCAGAGACCGTCGTCTGCTATCGTGGGGCTCTCGCGGGGCAGTCCTGGGCCATCGTGGGGCAACATTGTAGCTCTCCTAGGGGCATTCTGGGGCTCCGAGGCCATCCAGCTAAATCTGGTCAACAAGGGTGAACTCCAGAGAACTATGACATCCTCCCAAAGGAGCCTCCAGGGTACAGGGGACCGTCTTGGGGCCCTCTTGGTCCGTCTGGGGCTCCTCCAGAGAGCGTCGTCGGCTCTCGTGGGGCTCTCGCGGGGCAGTGCTGGGCCATCCTGGACCGACATTGGGGCTCTCTGGGGGACACGCTGGGGCTCCGAGGCCATCTTGGAGCTGCAATTCGCCAGCGAGTGAGAACGCCCGAAACTCATGCAGTGCACGTTCACACTTTGGGCTTTCGACCAATGCGATGGCCGATTACTTGATGTTGAAAGATGCCCCATACATACATGTCTACAGAACGACGGAGCCCTGGTGGCTTTTGACTGATTCGGCCCCTCCGGCCCGAGGGCCTTCAGAGCAGGGCCCAGGGCACTGGGCCGACCCCCGCCGTGGCGCGCGACCCGCTCCATCTTGAAGGAGCTCCGCTCCGAGGGGCCCCCAGACTGTCGACCCCCATCGTTCGTCGCGCGCCCGCGGCGCTGCCAGAAGTGCCCCGGGGGCCGAGAGCGGACGGCGAGCGCGACTGGGGAGGGCGCAGCACCTGTTTTGCCACAACGAGACAACCAGCGGGCAGAGTCTGAGTGCGCGCGCACAGATCGGGGAGGCGCGAGACCCGAGTTTAGGGGGGGCTCGAACCTGCCCGAGGGGCCCGTCAGAAAAAAAGGCGGGGTGTGGCCTGAGACTTGACGCCTCCTCCCGCGGCAAACATACCGCGGAGGAGACTGGTCGGTCAGAGAGCTCACGCCAGGACCGTCAAAGAGCGGCGGCACGCCCGAGGCGCGGCAAACTCGAGCCTCGCGCTTCCCCGAACGAGACGGAAGGGCCACGAGTGCAACGCGCGAGGTGCACCCCATGGGTCTCATGGGTGCACCCGAGGGCCTCAAGGGCTGGGGCGGCATGGAGAACGCGCTTCGGTCCTCCCTGCCGCCCTCACCCTTTTCCTCTGCCGCCGCCGGCTCCACGCAAGGGCGACCCTCGCCAGGGGAGGCCAGTCGTACGCTGCTGCTCAACGGCACGCGCCTCAACGGTACGCTGCAGCCCGGCCTGGGCACTGGGGGACGTTGCTGCCGCCGCAGAAGCGGCAGGTGGTGCCCGCGATGCAGCCGGCTCCTCCTGCAGAGCACGCCGGGTCCTGGTAGCAGTACTGGAAGGCATCGTTGCACGTCTTGGCCGGCGTGGTGGTGCAGGTGACGACGGCCGCGTCGTCAGAGTGCGCCTTCACCTCCGCGAGCTTCTGGGCCGCAGCGGACTGCAGCAGCGCCGCCTCCTCGCCGCCCTCGGCGCACTGGCCTTCCGCGCACACCTGCTCGGCGGCGAGCGCGGAGGCGAGGAGGGCCAGGGCCAGGACGGGGAAGCGAGCCATGCGGACTTGGGGCCTGAGTCGAGGGGCTGGCGTATCGCTGGCCACAGCGCCTGCCGACCCGGCTTGAGCCGCGCGCACGCCGGGGAGAACACATCCAGTGACTTGCTTAAATGAGCCAGGTGAGAACCCCGGAGTGTTGGGTAGGTTGTGTCACAGAGGATTTTGCCTTCAAGGCGGTTTGGCAGGTCAGGCTTTGGTGTGGTGGTGGTAATTGATTTTGAGCTTGACTACGAATATGGTTGCGCCTACTTTCTGCGTGAATTTATTTAAAATGGCAACGGCCGCGATTAAACATACCACGTGGATCATATGCTGTTTGTGTTTCCGACCGCTCAGTATGTTGTGTTTTTCGTGTTTCCGACCGTTAAGTATTTAATATTGAGAGTGTATTTGGAGCCAACACTAACAAACCACGCTTCCACTTGCAAGAGGAGCGAGCTGGATTTGAGACACGACAGTGCGGAATGGTTACCCATTGTGCAAACGATCGTTTTTTCTGGACCACCTATCGTGCTGTGAGACGACCCTCCGACCTCCATCACAGAGCACACATGTCTCATGCACGGTGCACAGACACACTCTGAGCATATCGGCACCGTGCGGCTGTGCCAGGGTCTCGCAACTGTTCTTTCGACGCGAGGTTCAATCCCATACTGAACTCACGCTCCCAAGATACACCCTGGCCACGACCAAAAAAACAAAACACTGGCTGACAGCTGCGCAACCAAGCTTATGTTAAGCAATCCGTTTCAAAGGTGATTTACCTTTGCGATTAGATTTCAAGGATGCAAGTGTCCTGTGGATGTAATGATGCAAGGGGCCCGTGCGATGACGAATCCATCGCTGTGAAGCTTGGTTGCGCCTGGAGGTTCTGGACCTCAGCTGTGCGTGAACGACTTCGAGGGCGAGCCACGCTCGGCGGGCTTCACCCTCTCCCTGTCATCGTTGGCGACTTTGGCCCGCACGATGGTGAACGGCACAGGCGGCTGGACGCCAACGGGCACGAGGGAGGGCACCTGAACAATCAAATCTTTCCCGAACACAGCGAAGTCTACTTTGGTATACACGACCTCATGGCTCGCAAGGCCCTCCATCACGACAGAATCCTCGGCCTTGCGCTTCTTGGACTGCGCCTCTGCCTTTAGGTACACTTACAGACAAGTTAAAATCCGACGTTACACTACATAAAAACTTCTCCTCATCCTCCTCTTCCTCCTCAACTTCGTCCTCTTCCTCTATTCTTCGTAGTCGTTATCCTGCTGCTACTCCTGCTGATTCTGAATTCCCCTCCTGCTCCTCATCAACCCTCTTCTTCTATTTCCCCTCTCCTCGTCCTCCAATCCCCTGTCAGATCACACTGGCCTTCTTGGCGTTGAAAACTGCTGCGAGGAAGGCGTGGCAGCAGTCGCTCCTATCGGGGTTCTTGTTGACTGAGCTGTCCAAGTAGAGCGTGCAGACCAGCTTCTCCGTCTCAACGTTCTGGTCATGGTCATCAGCACGCTGCTCCTTAATGTAGACCTCCATCGGCAGGACGTTCTTCGGGTTTGACGATGTCCCAGCCGCCTCGCTGATGACGCGGCCCCAGTACGGCAGCTCGACGTGGCCCTCGTTCGTCTGGGTGATGACCACCCTCGTCTCTTTGGCACTGGCGACGAGCGTCGACACGGAAAGCAGATCGGACCCCTTGAAGCCGCCAGCGTTGATGACATTCATGTTTACAGTGTTGAGGTGGTCTTGCACTTTCGTGATCAGGTACTTCTCCTCGGCAACGCTAAGGTCGGACTCAACGAGCTCGCTGGCTTTCGTCTTGGTGATGAGCGCGGACAGGGTCTCGTCGTCAATCTCATCAGCGAGGACGCTCCTCTCGATGGCCACCATCGACGTTGCTTGCTCCACTTGCGGCACGTACTCGTTGCGCAGGCCCTCAACGATGATGCGGTAGGCCGCTTCGGGATTCTCGCACCAGTCGAGGACCCAGAGATTCTTCTCGTGCTTGGTATGGTACAACTTCTGGTACTGTGCCACCGCCTGCGCCCTCGTAGTCCCGTATTTCAACGATGATCCGAACTGCGTAAACATCACGCGCGAGATGGATTGAATCGTCATCTTGTTAAGCTCGTCCATCGTTTGGTCGTGCTCATCTCGGAACGCCTTGTAATCCAACGTATCCAGATCCGTGTTCATGCCGAGGAGTTTCTGCATCCAGATGCGCACGTACTCGTCCCAAGGTTTGTCAATCTTATTGCTGATGTCAACGATCTCCGTCATTGTGATGTTCTCGTTCGTGTTGAGCTTCTTGTCCATGGCGTGCTTGTCGCAAAAAAACAAATAAAAGAATAAAAAAAGAAAACAAAAAAATTAATAAGAAAACAATAAAAAAAAAAACATCAAAAAAAAAAAGAAAAAAAAAAAAAAAAAAAAAAAAAAAAAAAAAAACAAAAAAAAAAAAATAAAAAAAGAAAACAAATAAATAAAAAGCAAAAAAAAAAACAAACAAAAAAAAAAAAAAGAAAAAAAAAAAAAAAATAAAAAAATATTGAAAATAAAAGCCACCTTCATCTGGCTTTGAATGAAGACGGGAACCCATGGGAATGAAATCGTACTGCCATCTTTAGTTGAACCGTTGAACTGCATCGATCCCAAGTGGGGCATCACCTTGGTCATCAGCTGCATCCGCGTGTTCTGCACCATGGTGGTAGTAAAGCCCTTCTGCCAGATCTGCTCGAACACATTCACGGCGGACCCCCCTCCCGCGACGTGCTCCGCGAACGTCTTATTTGCTTCGCGCAAGACGACGAACTGGTCAAAGGCCTGATCGAAAGTCGTTGGCAAAGTCTCCTCGATCTTGCCCAACACCGCTGGTAGGACAATGTCACTGAACAACGTGGCCGCGTCACCGCAAGTACTGGTCGGCAGCTGTGGGAATATAGTCATCATCGCTTCGTTGGCGACCTTCGCAGGCGCAATGTGACAATCGATGCTGATGTTGGGAAGGTTGCTCGTCATGTAGTTGTACACTGTCTGCGCGTGCTTGACGAACTCCATGAGCATGTTCTCGGCCTGGGTCTCACTGATCTCCGACAACTTCGGCACGCCCCCCTTGCTGGTGTCATCCGTACCCATACCGTCAATTCCATCTGGAAAATCTGGGTCCGAGGTGCGAGGCGCGAGCTTGGCACTCATGTACACCTGCCTCTTGATGGCCTTCCTGAGCGCGGTGAACTTGCGTACAGTCGTCTCCTTGCCAGGCCCCCTCCCGTCCAGGGTCACACTCCCTTTCAAGGATGCGAAGTAAGCCAGGGTCTCGTACGCAGCGATGTGGGGGTTCGCAGGGTGAATCTTTCGCAAGTAATCCGATAGGTTCTTCACGTTGTGGATGAAGAGCTTGCCCACCTCCTGAACTTGGACAGGCCCTGGCCCTTTTGATGCAGACGTTGGCGCCTTGCCTCTGCCCCTGGCGGAGCTCCTGCCTCTGCCCGTGCCTCTCCCGCGCCCTGCCGACGTCGCCGACTTCTGCTCCGATCCAACTTGTTGCAGAAGCGCTTGCTCTGCAACTGCCGCCCTGTAGTCATTGCCCTCCGCCACGATGACCTCGCTCACTTTGCTGTCGTCCATGGCCGCCAACAGACTGGACATGATCATCCCGTCGGTGATCGTCGTGGCGATGGCTGGGTTCGGCAAGCCCTCCTTGAGCAGGGGGCACTTGCCGATGGGCCTTTGAGCGTCGCACTCTTTCAACTGCAAACGTACATCAGTCTTCTCCTCATTCTCCTCCATCCTCCGTCCCTCCTCCCCCTCCTCCTCCTCCTCCTCATCCTTCTCCTCTTCCTCCCTCTCTTCCTACTCTCTCCTCCTCCTCCTCCTCCTCCTCCTCCTCCTCCTCCTACTCCATCCTACTGCCCATGTAAGCTGGAACAGACAGGGAAACTACAGATTTCCATGTTTCAATTTGCCCCACTCCTCCTCCTCGACCCCCTCCATATCCTCCTCCCCCTCGTCCTCTTCCCTCCTCCTCGTCCTTCTCCCTCCCCGCATCGCCCGCCTCCTCCTTCTCCTCTTGTTCGTCCTCCTCCTCCTCCTCCTCCTCCTCCTCCTCCTCCCCCTACTCCTCCTCCTCCTCATCCTCCTCCTCATCCTCCCGCCTCCTCCCCCATCTCTGCGGGGGCCACTTTGGCACGTTTACCTCCCTCCCCTCCGTTCCTCATTTCCTCCCTTCTCCTCCCCTCCCAAGCACATCCTCCAAGGAAGCGTTTGCTCAAGTGGTCTCGGCTACTGGGCTGACCCCTTCTCCCCCGACCCCCGCGGGGGAAGAGGGGAGACGGGCAGGTCGGGGCAACAGCGGCATGCGCCATGCCCCAGCGCAGCCATTGCGCAGCCTGTTCACAGGCAGCACGAGCGAGAACAGCTGCTCCATCATGGAAGGGTCGTCCTTGAAGCGCTTGAAGATGGCGAAGCAGCTGGCGAAGATCACCCGATGGTTGTCGACGGCCCTATTCGTGAAATCAACATTGGTCTTGCACCACTCCTCCCGCAACGAGAGCACAAAATTGTATCAAATTGCCTAGGGTTTCCCCGTGCGAACGCGGCGAATCATTGAAAACACAATAGGAAAACTATAAGTTTATCACCTAAGGGATGCCCTCGAACGACAAACGCTCGCACGATATGACGATCGAAGCAAGTAAATGAACAAAAAACCATATGTTTTTCTACATTCGAGCGAGTTCGCACGGGGAAAACACTGCATTTTGAACAACCACAGCCCCAGGATGTTTCGGAATAGGGGTTCGTTGCGATCCCTAGCAGTGCTCTCCTTGAACACATCCCAGTAGGCCACCTCAGCGCCCGACCCGCGCTTGATGACCAGGGCCTTGGCGCCGGCGTAGAACTTGCGGCAATTCTCGTACATCGGGATGGAGTCCCAGCGTGGGTAATCGAACGCGGCCTTGAACATCGCCTTCTTGTTGGCCTCCATGGCCGTCTGCCCGATGCTGGAATGAGTCCAGCCAAAATCCTCCTTCTGCTTGTCCCACGTCGCCTCGATGACGTCGGTCGACTCGCAAACCTCGACGAAGGTGGTCGACAAGGCTTTGTTGTTCATGGAGTTGCCCAAGGACACCAGCTTCTCGCAGACGTCCCTCGGGGTGTCGAACGGGAACACGGTGACGTCCTGCAAGCCGAGGGCAACGCTGCGCTGGACCTTCGCATTCAACTTCTTCGGGTCACGGTCGAAGGCCCTCTTGACGCCGTCGCACAATGACCCCCAGTGGAGCGTGGTGAAGGTGGCGGCGGGGCCCATGGCGTTATCTTTGGAGCCAGCCCTGACCCACGCACCGCCTCGGAGACCATGAAGCAAGCCTACGGTCTCGATGCTGACGGCCCTATCCTTCACGAGAAGGAGAAGGAGCAAAGCGATGAAGAGAATAAATAAGGTAATACGGTCAAGGATGGTTGCGTGGCTGCGTTTAGAAGTTCGGCAGGGTCCAGGGTCCTCTATCGTAGCCTCGTCCCCGCGAGAGCTGTTCAAGGGGTCCCTCCAGATGGCCCACTGCCCTGCGCCGTTGATGAACTTGATCGAGGCGCCCTTCGAGATGGGATAGAAGTGAAACAGGATCTCCATGAGCTGCAAGCCCACGAACCCTGGGAAACGGTCCTCGGCACGAGCGAAGCCGTCGCCCCACACTTGGCTGTGCTTGAACTGGCTGAAATCGATGCCCGTAGACGCCACCTCGGTGGCAAAATATTGTTTGGACAACGCCCGACACCCCATAATCTAGCGGCAGCTGCCAAATACGCGTCTATCTCTAGGGGTCCATTTGGCAGCTGCTGCCAAACCTACGTATGTCTCCAGAGGTCGATTTGGCAGGAGCTGCCAAATGCACCCCCCGAGACAGACGTGGCTTTGGCAGCAGCTGCCAAATGGACCCCTCGAGACAGACGTGCATTTGGCAGGAGCTGCCAAATGGGCCCCTAGAGACAGACGCCCATTTGGCAGGAGCTGCCAAATGGGCCCCTAGAGACAGACGTGCATTTGGCAGGAGCTGCCAAATCCACCCCTAGAGACAGACCCCCATTTGGCAGGAGCTGCCAAACGGACCCCTAGAGACAGACGTGCATTTGGCAGGAGCTGCCAAATGGACCCCTAGAGACATACGTTCATTTGGCAGCAGCTGCCAAATTACGATACGTGCTGACTCTAAAGTCAATTTGGCACTCGGTCCTAAACGACCACTAAGACCGACTGCATTTTGGCAGCTCTGCCAATGGACCCCTAAGAGAACAGACGCCCATTGGCAGGAGCGGCCAATGGAACCCTCCAGAGACAGACCGCTTTTGGCAGGAAGCTGTCCAAAGCACCTGCCTCTAGGGATCCTTTTGGCAGCCACGGCCAAATCTAACGAACCGTCCCCTAGGGGTCGATTTGGGCATAGCTGCCAATGGAACCCCTAAGACAGACGTGCATTGCAGGACCCTGCCAAATGCACCCCTAAGAGACAAGAACCCATTTGCAGGAGCGGCCTAATGGACCCCTTGTAGCCGACTTCATTTGGCAGAGCATGCCAATGACCCCTAGAGACAGACGTGCTTTTGGCAGGCGCCAAATGCACACCCCTAGAGACAGACCCCCATTTTTGCGAGCTGCCTAATGCTCCCCCCTTAAGCCCGACGTTCAATTTGGCGAAGGAAAGCTGGCAAATGGACCCCAGAGACAGACGTGCATTGGCAAGCTCCTCCAAATGCACGCCTGTCGCTAGAGGTCCTTTTGGGCAAGCTCCCTGCCAAATAACGTATGGCTCTAGTCCATTTGCCACTCCCTGCCAAAGACGCTGTACTGGAAGACTATCCATTTGGCCAGCTCCTGCCAGGTGGACGCTGCTCAAAGGGGCCCAGTTGGCACTCCTGGCCATCGGCTTCCCGCCGGGATGGCCCATTGCAGCAGCTGCCAAATGGACCCTTGGAGCAACTGCAATAGCTGGCAGCAGCTGCCACACGAGCATATAGCGACAGACGTGTATCTGGTACAATTCAAATAAAAATGTCACGCTGTGCAGTTAAATTCACAAACAACTCAAACAAAACACACACGCAATACTACAGTTCAGTGTCCTGCAAATATGTGTTGTGTTGTTTTTTTTTTTCCGAATCAAGAACAGAAATGGAAATGCGAGAGCGCGCAAGCCCGATCCGACTCCCCAAGACCTGCGCGTCGCCGCCGCCCAGCGCAGCAGCGGGCGCCGAAGGCGCGGGTGCCGCGGCACACGCCATCGGCAGGTCCAGGAAGTCGCGAACGCCTGCGCCGACAGCAGGGG